AATAGGTTAAAAGAAACACCATTTATTTCCAAATTACAGCCAAAAATCATAAGAACCTGTCAAATCCATTATTTTTAGTGTTTACGTGCCTTTGCCTAGTTTTCACAGTGATATTGAGCTTCTCCAGGGGTTCTTTCCATAGATGTAATCAATCTGATTCCTATGCATACCATCGGGTGAAATCCATGTATATAACCTGCGTTTATGTCTCTTTTTTTTTTCCTGCTCTTGACACATTTATTTTTATTAAAAAAATTAGCAACCCAAGGAGAGATAAGAAATCATAGGGTTGTACGTACAATTTGATGGGTGGAGGGAGCAGTGAAGGAAATGGGAAAGATCCCGTGTGAAATACAATGTATTCAAATTTTGTAAACATCAGTATTTTTTAAAAAAAGAAAAACTTTTTATCAAAGAAAATGAACCATAGCTTCAAATATTTACGACTCATACAGAAAACTAGTCAATACAGAAAGATTATGTGGCTTTACTGGCACTTCGTTTGAGAAGCAAACTCTACTCTTTTGACCAAAGTTGTTATCATTTAGATTGTGCTTACTTATAAGTTTCTCAATTCTGGTTTTGTGTGTTTCTGAGAACATAAAACAAACACCATCCAAGAAATTTTCTAAGAATCTTTTTATTTCTGAGGAAATTTTGCCAGACTGAACCATGAATGAAAATTTCTAATCAATATGCCCATACAGTATAGGCACTATTATTCTGCAAATGATAATTGATGAATCAAATACTGTGCATAAAGACCTGATATAAATAGCAGGAACAATGTGAGAAGCCTTTGCTATTTCTCAGCATGTAAGTATAGGGTTTCAGCCCTCCTGACTTCAGCAAAGTTGTAACCTGTAAAGACCTCTGCTGTGAAAACCAGCCAGGGTTGGTCATACTCTGGGCCAGATGTAAAAGTTATTCCTGATAGTGCTTGCAAGATCCATTCTGGAGGCTGGCTTCGGAGATCAGCCCACATTCCTTTCATGGACACCCGGAAGTTTACACAGGCAAAGACTCCTATCTGAGGGAGCTGAGTTTTCGGCTTGCTTGGACCTCAGTTGTTCATAGTGGCATACTTAACTTCTCAGACCAGCACACCAGCGCTTAACAAAAGCGGAAATTTAGGGAGGAGACCGAGTGTCAGGTCAGCGTCCACTGAAGGTATGATGCTTGATTTCTTGGAAAGTCAGTAAGTCACTAGAATTATAGGGCTTTCTCCATCTCAGCCCCATGAGCACACTTGAACTGAGGTTTACTCAGACAACAGGGTCTGGCTGAGTGTCTGGGAAGCCTGGCGGCTGAATATCCTCTTGTTTAACAGGTCCGTGTGGTTTGCCCTGTCTGTGGGGGTACAACAGAGCAAAGCATCCAAACTGTGTGTGGTGACTTGGCCAGACACTTGCAGTTTTTCATATATCTCATCAAATCTGGTTAGCAGGTTGGGGATATCCTTCACTTTTTCCCTCACTGAGGCAAGCACTTCTTCTGAGAATCTGTGCCTTTTCACAAAGCTTGATAAACTTCCTTAGGCAGTTTCTTTCAGTATTGCCAGTAGGGTTTCCAACATATTGGTGTGGATATGAATAACAATCTTTAAGGAAGGGCTTATATAGTTGTTCTCCTAAAAGTCTTTCACTCTACACAAAATTCTGTCATCTGGAGGATGACATTTGAAGATAATCAGTTTAAATCAATGCAGGTTATGCTTTCTGGATTCATGATTTGAGAAAAAATCGATACAGCTTTTGCCACCTGGTTCTGATTCACAGCTAAGGCCACAGCAAAACATGAAGCTCTCCTGGAGAGAATTTCTCCTTTGAGTAGGGCTTCTTCTCTCAAAGTAGTACAGATTTGAAAAGATTCAGGGCTATTCAGTTTGTAGCAAATTGCAAATGCAACGATGTGGGTATCTTTGTTGAATTTCACATCTTGATTCCTCATTTCTATCGATACCTCCAGTGCACTTTTATATTTGCCTTTGATAAATAGCATATCCACGAGAATGTTGAATGATGTGCCATCTGAAAAGAAACCTCGTAAACGCTGGTCTTTAATGAGCTCCAAGGCAGATTCCTCAAGATCCAACTCATAGCAGAGCCTCATGAAGAGTGGTCCAAACTTATATTCTGTCAAATTCACATTTCTGTTCTCAGCATGATACCTGAAAATGACTCTTTTAGTCAGTGGCACATCATCCCGGGAGTCACACAAGTGAAGAATGGTTTTCAACTCTTCCTTCAAGATGAGTTTATTCTGGGTCAGATTGTCTTCCAAATTTCTGAAATAGGTTTCTTTTGTGCCTGGAATACTATGTGCAATAATCACCTTGTTATGTTGAAATTCTCTTAACTTCATAATATTATCTGTGAGTAGATTTCTTTTCGCTCCGAGGGGGCACCGGCAGCAGCGGGAACCAGAGTCCCGCACCAGGTGATGTGCCAAACTTCGCAGAGAGAGTAACTTCATTTGCTCGGACCGCCGAGTGGGAGCAGCGGCCATGCTGCCGCGGGATGTACCCACGTTTATGTCTCTTAAAAAATGAATTTGCGGGGAGCTCTGGTGGCCTAGTGGCAAGAAGCTGCACTGCAATCCCAGAGGTATACGGTTCAAATCCACCAGACGCTCTGCCGGAGAAGGAGGAGCAATATCCTCCTGCACCAGTCAGATCTGATTTGACGGTACACGCACACAAAACAATAAAAAAAATAAAAAATTTAAAAAAAATGCATTTGCAATGAATAAGTCATTGATTATGCAAAATACAATCATCCTCTCTCCAGCTCCATTTCTGTCACCAAGTCCATGTTTTCCAACTACTGAATCTTCTTCTCTATTCCCAACTTTTGCATTCCAGTCACCCATTGTTATCAATGCATCTTGATGCATGTTTGATCGATCTCTGACTGTAAAAGTTGGTAAAAATCTTCTATTTCCGCTTTCTTGGTGCTGGTTGTTGGTGCCTATATCTGAATGATAGTGGTCTTCACTGGCCTTCCTTGTATGCATATGGATATTATCCTGTCACTCACAGTGTTGTACTTCGAGAAGGATCTAGCAATGGCTTTCTTAACTATGAAAGCAACTCCATTTTTCCTCATGTTTTCATCTCCAGAGTAATATATCATATGATCATCAGACTCAAAATGCCCCATGCCAGTCCATCTCATCTCCCCAATGCCTAGTATGTCAATATTTATACATTCCATTTCTTCCTTAACAATATCTAATTTTCCTACATTCATGCTTCTCACATTCCATGTCCCAGTTACTAGTGTCTGCTTGCAACTGTTCCTCTTCCTTTGTATTTCCATACCTGAAAGCTCAGCCTCAGTTATCTTTTCTGTTATCTACATGTGTTCTGTTGTACATAGGGTTTTCGGGGGTCTGCTAGCTGATTGTGGAAGAGACCACCAACTACTCATATGCAAGTTCAAGCTGAAGCTGAGGAAAATGAAACTGAATCCACGGGAACCAAAATATTACTTTGAGTCTATCCCACCTGAATTTCAGAACCAGCTCAGGAACAGGTTTGAGGCCTTGAACACTAATGAGCAAAGACCAGATGAGTTGTGGGAAGATATCAAGGGTATCTTCCAGGAAGAGTGCAAACGATCATTACAAAGACAGAAGAGGAAGAGAAGACCAAAATGAATGTCAGAAGAGACTCTGAAAACGGCACTGGAGCGCAGAGAGGCCAAAGCAGAAGGAAGAACTCAAGATACTGAAGAGTTGAACAGAAGATTTCAAAATGCAGCCCGGGATGACAAAGCAAAATATTACAATGAAATATGGAAGGAGTTGGAGTCAGAAAATCAAAAGGGCCGAACTCGCTCAGCAT